CGGGCGCGCAAGATCACAACTTCTAGCACGATGGTTACTGTAAATTTCGCAAGAAGGGGAATGCAAAATTTGCCGGCTCATTGAAAATGCAAACTGGACAATGAACAGGGTGTCGACAGAGAGAAGGATGACGAAATCCAAGCAAAATGCACTCGCTTTTGAAAATACAACAGAACTGAGCACTTGTCATGTTCATATGCAAGGAATTTAGCCTCCAAGCTGAAATTAGACTAAACTTGAATACAGAATATCCTTGCAAAATTACAGTTTTAATCTGAAATTGTAAATTTGTAAATTTCAGCTTTGTTCGGTACCCAAAGTCTCCATTTTGTTAGAAATGTATTTGACATATCTAAAGGCATGGCGGAACTGCAGTTCGAAACTCCGTTTAGGTATACGAATCCCCCAGATTGGAGGTAAATATTCTAGCAGAACTACAGCTATCGTTTTCCAGCTAATTCTCGAGTTGGTACGGTGTAAAGTGTGATTCCCAGAACCCGCATTATTTGTGGCTATAGTGCAGGCAGATAGCCGGAGCAGCGATTCGCTTGCGCCCATCAAACACTGAAGAGGTAAGCTGAACATCCGATGGATATCAGTGTCAAAAATCGTCTGCGTCCCGATATTTCCTATGCATCAGGCCAGGTCTCCTTGGTTATGTTACATTAATGCGTGGCGTTTTAGCGTTATCGCGTCAGCAGGCCTTTACCTTACACAATATCTTACTCTATCCGAAGGAATTCGTAAAATCACCTCCCCACTATACGCGGCCCTAACTGCGCAGAGTATGGCTGTTTGCAAGGCCGAAAAGAGGCACATCAAGCATCCTTCGCTCCATCGCTCTCTCCATCACTGCCAGCGCTCGCTTTCCAGCATTCGTCTGTGGGTACCTCACCAATTTATAGCCCACCGTGTCTACCAACGAAATCGACAGGATGATCGAAGCCTTGCTAAATCTGCTACCGAACAGTATAACAGGGGCAAGCAACACAGCGGATCTCGACCCAACGCTGGC